GAGAGCGAGTGGGCCGGGGCGCGGTGCGCCTAGGGGTTACCGTCCAACTTGAGGCAGGCTGCATGCTTAGAGGAGCGAAGAATGGAAAATGCCTAGTGAAAAGAAAGGCGGATCCCTTAAGACCGCCGTCACACTTGGCGACGGCGGTCTAAGGGTGCGGACCAACACGGTATTGGCATCAACGCGGAAGGATATGCCCTTAGCGAGTTGGCGACCTTCCGTTTGGCGCAGTTGGCCCGGAACTCCCACCAACATAGCAGAGGTAACGTTACGTTGAAGAGGCACGATGAGAGTCGCATCAATGCGAAAATCAACGGGCAAGGAAGAGGTCCCATTTCTCGGGTTCCAAATTTTTCACATGGTTCATCCCTACTTCACTGACCACCTCTACCTTATTTCCAATAAGCTATCTTTTCATCGTAAAATCCGCCTTTAAAACGAGGAGAGGGTCATTCACAATGGGAGAGGCGTGGCGTTATGTGGGCGGCTTTTCCTACAAGTTCGTATACTTCGATTTCGAGGTACCGAAAAAGTTATGAGGCTAGCAGGTGCTACACAAATGGGATGAGCACGCTGTATTTCTTGCATAAGGTAGGCGCGAAATATAATATGTAAGTTGGGGACTGCTGCCCACTACTGTGGTGTCACGAGAGTTGACGGAATTCGAGAGCCAGGGGTAGCCAATCTAGGGGGTGGGGGTGAGGGCAGTCACTTGACATGCGTGAAAAGCTGGAATGTGTGAGTTACTTCATAGCGTCTCGTCACGTCATAGTAGCGGGCAGCAGTCCCCACTTACATACATTTCGCGCCTACCGTATTCCAAAAATTCGGCGTGCCCATCCCACTTGTATTGCACCGACCAGCAAAACAGGTAGGGTGGCCAAATTGTAATGGTCAGCATGCGTGAAAGGGCTTGCACCTATCATAAGTTAGGCACGATTTGCTATGAAATTCACAATTTGTTTCTGAAACAGCCCAGAGACTGGAAAAAAAAGTGGGCAGTAACTTCTGCAACCTTTTCTCTTTGCCAGAAGTGGCCATCACCTAACGTGATGTTGTTAGCGAAGTGTAATACTTTTGCGTTTTCCTCTCATCTCTTCTTTGATAATGAGCATTTTGAAGTTATTCAAAAGTTCCTTGATTTTCAGTGATGTGTTCTTCCATGACGATAAATGTAGTGTGGTTGAATTTGACCATGAAGGATGCTCGACGCAGCTCTCTGAAT